CCCTGGCATAGAAATATTTCCTAGATGTGAAACAGAAAAATGATTCCGTAGTTCAGTTGGCTTAGAAAGAGGGGTGATGTGTGATTTAAATAATTATGATCCAATTTAACAGAGCAGAATATTTAGAATATGAAGTGACAGCTAGAGTCTTATGTTAATATAAAACTAGCAAATGATATAAATTACTTAAAAGAGGACTAAAAAAGGTATTTGAAACAAATCCTCAATATAACCTGCCTACGCTCTAAACTCCTGTTTGAATGGAGAAATAAGTAGTATCCCAAGTGGAAGCCTACAACAGATAAAAAGCCCAACTCACTGAGGATATTACATTTAAAATTTCAATTTATTTGAAGGAATAAAAACAAAAAGATTCAAACCAAAGCCTAATTTAATTTTCCAAACTCTGGTCCCTTCATTTCCCCCATTGTTTCTTCACATATTGCATTTACACAAATTCCTGTCAGAGTAGCAGAGAGAGTTGTGAATTTGGTATTTCCAAATTGCCCTGAAAAATAGAATTTTGCTAATGCAATACCTTCTATTGTATTAACTGGCTTTGAACTGCTTCAAATTTGAGCCACAGGAACAGAATGTACTGCCGTGGAGGGTCTGTATATTGAATTATCAACTCGGAGGGGATGGCTTCAGCATAAACTCTGAATGAAGCCTTCTGCAAAAAGAGAGCAACTCCTTAGAGTTGCCACACACAGAAAGGACAGACTTATAATTTATTCAGCTGGCTATAGGTTATCCATGACCTAGTATAGACCTCCAAGTAAGCTCTGTGCTGCCACAGCTTTTATTGAAGATATTTCCACTGAGGTAAAATCTGGGTGATTTCCAGTCTCTAGACACACAATTTCATGATGGAAGACAGTACCAGTACTTTCCATAAAAATGCTAAGTCAATTCTTGGGAAAATTGTAATTTGTTAGTCTTTCCAACAGTATCTCCCAAACACTTTCTAGTCTACAGTAATAGCTTTACAAGTGATTTCTGCATTGAATCCAAGAGTTTATGCAAGCGTAAAGTATTAAAGACAGAACAAAATATATACTCTAAATAATCTTCTTGGACCTTCTGTATAAGGTAGGCCTCAGAAAATGGAAATCTGTGTTTGTCCCATGGGCATTGTTTGCATGGAAGAGGCTTTTCTGAAATGTGCTTTATAGAGCCTGGCTCAAAGCACAAGTTGTCCCAAAGCTCCTTGTCTCAAATCTCTGTGAATTTATCCATCCAATAAAACTTAATTTCATCTAATATATTGCACATAAATAAATAAAGTTGAGAGACTACTTTCTTAGTGTGAAAAGAGAAGAAACTTAGTCTATTGTCCAGAGACCCAATGTGACTTTGATGTTTATTAGTTTGAAGACATGCAATTTCTGAAAAACTAACAAGTTTGAATGGCAAATAAATAAATTAGTAAAATTTATGAAAAAAATTATGATTGGTCTATGACATTTTGCGTGTCATTATAAATACTTATTCATCAGTGCTGCTGCTTGTTTAGTGAAAAGAAAAATACTGTCATTCAGCTTTTCAAACTATAAGGTTCTCTTCTACCTAACAAAACAATATTAATGGGCAGAAGACACATTTTCAGGGATGTCTGTCTTTATGAAAAAGTGTGAGATAGCTTGAATTTATAACAGCTGTATAAATGGTTCTTTCTTCCGCCATTCCAGAATAGTTTAATTTAAAGTCAGGTAAGAAGGGTCTTAAAAATATAGAGGCCAAAAGAATTGTAAAAATGCTGATGATACCATAAAAGAGATCATTTTAGTTTTCTCTTACCACATACATAGTACAAGTAAAACATCTGCCTGTCACCCCATAAACATTCCTACACTTCTCTTCCTTTTATGAGGAAAAAAAAAATAGACCTTTAAGGGACTTTTAATAGCCAGCAGCTGTTTGGCTGCTCAATACTGCATCTGGAAGAGAGGATGCTATTCACATGGAGAGAAAAAGACAAAAGTACTGTTTAATTTTCTTAATGTACACCAACACTTTACATAAAGACATTTGAATGATTTGAATATGAAGAAAGACACAGAGCTCCTTAAATACACCTGAAAGCCACTATATCATTACCAGAAGGCATTAATAACTGATGGCATTCGATCCTGTTTGATATGAGGTTGAATGACTGCTGCTGTGAATGAGTTTGATGCCACGTAAAAGGGTCACTTCATGAGAACACAAATTCATCTCATTCTTCTGAGATGAACTCTACTTCAGGCTAAAATGAATCATAGCAGTTTTTCTGGTGAGGTTATAATTATAATTTTCTGAATGCATAATCCATTTTTAAAAAACATTCTGCTTACAACAAATGTTAGGACAGGAAAGCATCTGCTTTAGAAAAATTAAAATGAGGAACTGGCTTTATAAGAGTACTTCAAAAAAAGGATCATACAGGTTGAGTGGGACTGCTTTTTTAATAACAATAGCTTCAGGACTGTGTTAAAGGGAAATAGAAAAACTATATAATAGCATGTTTACTTTGACAATCTCCCACAATGACATCAAAGTTGTTTCTTCTTCTCTTTTACTTTCCTTTGAAAGGATGCCTGGTGTGGCAACTGTAATATCAATATAGAATACTTAGAGAGATGGAAGGACCTTTATGGGACCTAAAACACTTCAATGGTAAAGGAGTCAGTTCAGGAGTGATAGAGGGAAAGATGACTCAGGTGCTCACTATTCTCTTCCTGCCCTGTTTTCTGTCACCTCTCTTTATTCTTCCTTGCCACCTCCCTCAGACAAAGATATGGACCACAGCCCCTGCCTCACTGCCTTATACCTCATCCTTCTCTCTGTGCTTCCAGGTATAGATACCCTAGTTGGCAACTTGAAAACCATCTTCTGAACATTTTACGTTACCATCAAAGAACCTAGCTCTCTCTATTTCTTTCAGAAATGCAAATTTTTAACCACTGTAGAAAAAATATGTTAACTACTAAATTCTACATAATTTTCATCATTGGTAAACAGAACTAAGCAGTAATATGCATTACTGGCTGTGGAGAGGAGGCAAGAGAAAGGGACTCAGGAGCTTACGCAAAGTCCTTAGAATTCTCCACGTGGAAGGAAATGGCTTGTGCATGTGGAGGAATGGCAGGGTGAGAATAATCCCTACTTCTTAGAAACAATAGGTTTCTCCCTTCCTTCCCTTTTTCCTTCTTTCCTTTCTCTTTTCTTTCATTCTTTCTTTTTTAAACTGTGAAATTTTGCCAAGTGTATGCTTCCGCTGCCAAAGGAGGATGGATATCATCATTCCTAAAAGTTGTTCAACATCATATATTTTTTGTTTCTGTAATGCCTATAGTATCTTAGAAGTTATGAATATAATAACTTCATCCTCAAATGACTTGTGATGTAAATTTCAATTTTACTAATATTTTATCAAAATTTATATAAAATAGATCAGTGCTTACTGTAGACCCACGTTTTCAGGGGGAATATTCTGCTGTACGCTGAGCCTTTCTGTTGAGGTAGATAAAATCATGTTGATGAGGCAAGACTTACACACCCAGAAGAGTTATAGAATAATAAAGTACAGCACACAAGAAAATGCTAAATTGTTTAAAATTAAAGGCTAAAATTTTTGTTAAAGATTCTGAATGTAACTGATTGAGGTGAATGGGAGAAATCAATGTTTCTATATTTATTTGAGCTTCAGGTCTTTTCCCTTGCCGATTAATTTTAAATACTATTCCTAGAGTAGCCTATTGGAAATCCTTGGTTTAAAATTCTTAATGGTACCCCTTGTCCAGTCATGATTTTCATATTGAAAGTATAGATGGGCCTCTTTTAATGAACAGATTCTCATAGAGAATCTAAGAATATGACTCCAGAAGCACAGGATCTGAGAACCCTAGTTTAAGAAACATTGACTTAAGAACTTTATTATTATTATTTCTTTAAATTATCTTTCACCTTAAAGGTATCACAAAATAGAAGTTTTGACTTTGTAAACAGAAATGTTGGCCTATAGAATAAATTCTCAGCTATTTAGTCTCTCACTCAAGAGAGAATATCAACTGAGTTTCCTTCTTTTTACTACAGACCACGTGCAGAAGCCAAAACAGTTAGTTGATCTGGACACAAATGCACAACTTTCCTACCACCACGTCTTTGCACACATTCTGCCTTCAGCTTGGAATAGTCTTTCCTTCTCTTTTTCTATCTTTCTCCCCAGCTTCTCTTTGCCAGAAATTAGGTCAAACAACTTCTTCATGTATCTCTATCCCAATCTCTGGAAATCTCACCTTCCTCTAATTTCCAAGAACAGTTAATTTGTGCCTCTTTTATGAGGCAGAACATGCCGCCATATATTATGTATAGGCATGTGCAGGACTTTTCAGCCTCAAGAAGCTTGAGGATAGGGTCTGAATCTGATTCTTCTTTTGCAAGGAGCAAGCACAGTATCTTGCACATAAAAGGTGTCAAATTAAACAACACCACCACAAAGAAATAACTCTATGAACCAACAAATAGAATGAGGCTTGAGAAAAACATTGAAAGGTTGATAGAATGTGGAAAGTGTCTAAGTTAGGGATTTTTTCATAAGGAACTTGGTAAACTTCACACCTTCCTTCAGGTGAGCTAAGGATTAAGCAAATCAGGAGAAAAGATACAGCTACTCCTCCACCTTACTGGTGAAATACAGTTGTTTCTGAGGAGAAAATTTGTGCAATTACAGAGAAACCATCCACCAAAGCTTATCAAAGGAAATTTGCAAATACTTTAAAAAGCAAATAATCGTCATAATCCACCATGACTTTTGCCCCTGGGATAGCAATAAAAGAAAATATGTTCAGATAGATAAGCCATACTGTTACCCATCGTCTTTTCCTTTTCTGCTCTATATAGTTCCATGCAGACAGCTTCTCTTCTACTCTTATTACATTATCATTGTCGCAAACAGAAGTGCTCTAATTAGAATATTAGTGTTAGAAGCATATTATCTCCAAATAAACTGTTATTACCTTTCAGAATCTTCAGACTGATTGGTGAACATTATCAGTTTATCATCCCGTTTCTCATGTTTGTTTATGAGCCATCCACATGGAATCTAAAAAAAAAAAAAAAATATGAAGGGTATGAGGTTCAATCGCATCTCAAGGGAAGTTAACTATGTCAGTCACCAAAGAAGAAAACCACCTGTTAAATGCATTTTTCATCAAAAGCCATGTTTTTATTCTCATGTCTTGTTTTCAGCCCTGCCAGACGTGAGAAGACAGACCACAAGCCTGCCTTCTGCCTAGTTTCAATGAAAGTTAAAAGACCAGGTGTAAACACAGGCTCAGTGAGTTAAGGAAGAGTCTCATGACAGGGAGAAACTGTCCAGGAGCAAGTAAAAGAAAGCTTGACATTCCAACACACACAGCATGAATGGTGAAAGTTGTCAGACTGACATGTTTATAGTTCAATTAACCCCAGTCTAGGAATGAGTTCTCCAGGGGTGCCTACTGACCCAGGTGCCAGCAGCTTTCTTCTAGGAAGACCACTTATGTCAGCTTTTTCTCCAATAGGAGTGATTGATTATTTTTATAATTTTCAGGGTAACAAGGGAAGTGGTAATGGGACAATAAAAAAAAGGAGAAAAAAAATTAATTATACTTAAGACAGAATTTGTTTCTCATTTTTTAAATTTATTATTAAGTTACACTTAAGTTTGGCACCTTAATCACCAAACTGTGGACAAATATTATACAGACTACATAGTACCTCATGGGACTTACAGTAGAATTTTGAGATTGAAGAATTTGAAGATTTGTGTATGCTTTAAAAGCCAATTCCTATAGGAATTAATGCATTTTAAATGCATCTGGAAACCACCAATTGCTGTAAACCCATTAGAAATTTTAGGAGCTAGGCCTGTGGGAAATATGAAGCCAGTTTGTCTGAGTTTCATGCATTTCTGTTTAATTGTAACAACAACCCCACAAAAAAAAAAATCGTTTGTTAAAATGCTCCAGGAAAGATTCATTTCAGCTATTGGCAAGTTGGCTGTACATAGTGTGGGAGAGTAAGTTTTGTTTTGTTTTCAGCTTGTGACAGCTGTTTAAAAGTCATCTGTTACCACCATGGTAGCCAGTCACTAGATGAAAGCAAATGCATTTCTGGACTGTTGAAAGAATTGGACCACCAACTAGTATAGCTATCATTTAAATATGCAAAATTGCAAAACTGCCCATCTTGTTTATGAGGCATACTGGAGACATTACACAATTCTGCAAATATGTTGAAGAGGAAACCAAGTGATGTGCTATCTCATAGAGTGACTGCAAAAGTGCCCATTTCTGAAACATGAAGTTTTAAATATTTATTCAATAAACAAATTTGTAGTAAGGTTTTAAAAATGTCTTATATTGTTTCACTATTTCAAAAATTACCTTTAAAATGCTAATTTCCTGGCATATCCAAATTACACATGGAGTCCTGGAGTATCAGGGAATCATAGAGTCTGAGACTGTGGAGAGCATGCTAAAATTTATGACGCCATCGTTTTACAATAGAGGAAACAGAAGTCCAGAGAAAACAAATGACTGGGCTAATTAATGACTGATCTAGGATTAGACACCAAACCATTTGACTCTTAGTCATGATTTTCTATTGTTGTTCCACAATTGAAAATTATAAAGAAGAAATTTTAAGTTTGAAATAAAATGAGCACTAATATTTTTTTAATACTAATGTATTTTAAAACTAACCTACAAAATTTTTACATTACAGATACACACTAATAAAACTGTATTTCTTAGGTGATGGCATTGTATTATTTGATCTCTGGTAGTAAACACTCCAACAATGGCATGTACAAAGGGAAATCTCCAGACTTAAAATTTTATAGTTTAAGATTTGTAAATAATATCTGAGGCACTGGAAACAGACAAGATGGATATTGTCTCAAAGACATTATTTTACTGAACATTATATTTCCTTCCTAAATTGCCTTTTCCCAGGCTAGAATTTTACATTTGTTATTATTCTATCCAGGAAGTAAAAATATCAACCAGTGATAATCAGAAAAGTCAACATCCCAGGCATAATTATAACTTCAAATAGTTTATTTATCTATTCCCTCCCTCCCTCTGCCTCTCCATCCCTCCCTCCTTCCTTCCCTTCTCACCTCCCCTCCCCTCCCCTTCCCTCTCCTCCCCTCCCATCCCCTTCTCTTCCCTCTCCTCCCCTTACCCTTCCTTTCTTGTTTTCTTGTTTTCCTTGGGGAAAAGTCTTTTCAATACCACAGACAGAGGTGTTTTTCTCACCAAATAGTGACAAAGGAGACAATTTTTAAAAAGACACTCAGCAATTAAAAGGCTTCTGTTTCAAGTAGAAGCAAATAAATAAAATGAAGCCAGCCTGAGCACAAAGAGCCTTTTCAATACCACTGCCTCATTTGTTTTAAATCTTACAGAAAATCAGCAACTTCAAAAGTCTCATAGGACTTAGCAAAGCATTTGTGTACCTCTCTGAACTTTGTCTCCACAAATTATGAGTCAGGGTGACATTAAACCATAAGATAAGGAATTCTGCTGAAGTTCTTTCTCCTATAATTTTTCACTGAGCAAAACCACAAAATCAATCTAGTGAGGCGATCATGCACTTCCTCAGTTTTGATTGGCTCGTGTGGAGACATGCAAACAAGCAGTGGCGAAACACCTGCTACAATAAACTAGGCAACACTGTGTCTAAACTCCCAAATCTAGTAGCACACTTCAGGTACCTTTGCTTGTGCTTTATTAATTGCTCATGTAATTCAAAACACTTATACCTTATTAAACATTTTGCATATTTGAAACAAATTCTAATTTAGACATAGAACACAGTAGACTTCCATAAAAGCAAATTTTATCTGAATACTAAGCAGGGAAAGAAAAAGGAACGATAGGGCACCTGACTCCTTTTAACCTATGCCCATTCAAGATGGATTTCTCAGACACTTCATCCCAAAGTACTTAAAATAAAACCAGTCAGGTTTCTACTGCTTTATTATGATTGCATAGTGTCTGCCTATAATATACCTATTTTTGTTAGCTTTGAGGTAAAAAGCAACAGATCTTCCCTTTCTCTCATGTCTGTGGCTTTTAACCTGTACTCTGCAAAGTCATCCAAGAAGCCATTATTTTGCCCATATTTATTCATGTTTGTTATCCATGGGACAAGAAGCCTTTGTATGTAATCATTATTAATAAGAAGCATGATCTGTTCTTTACATGTGCCCCAAAACCTAAAATGCAATAAAATAAATTAATGGAAAAAAAAAAAAAGAAGCATGATCATAACACATCCACTCTACTACAACCAAGCTGCTGTGAATTAAATACTGAGATCCCTCTTCTGAAATAACTTCTAGAAACCATGACACATTCTTTTGAAAGTTTTTGGAAAAGGCTAAATTATCAGGTTGAAGTTTGGTAAGGTAAAGAAAATCAATCTCAGTAATCTCAGTTAGCTTTAAAAACAGTAGAGCTGACTTCCTTCCTTCATTTATAAATGGCCTTTGAAAATTCCTTTTCTTTGCATCTACAGAAACAGAGCAGCAAAGTGATGAAGAGCAGGCTCTGAAGTGAGACTGCCCAGTCCAATTCCTGCTCCTCTGGTGACTCTTTAACTGGGAGATGACAATCGTCCTGTGCTTCTGTTTCTCTTTATATGAGATGGAGATAAGAATAGTGCCTGCCTCACCGGGATCTTACGAGGGTTAAATGTGTTGATATGTGTAAAATTCACACAGTAATGCCTGGTATGTGTTTAGTACACTACATATTAACGGGTGTCATTTAAGAGAGTCATAGGAAGGAAGAGGTAAATAACTGTGATCAATTCACCATCTTGACTCTTGGTCATATTGCAAAAGCTTGGTATATGGGAGTTATATAAATTATTGTTTCTAAAATCTCTTTTAACTAAATAATTTTAGTTTTAGACTCTAAGATTTCAAATAAAGATATAATTGCTTGCCATCAAAGAATTCATCATCCTGTTGAGAAAATAGGATGACAAGCCTTGGCGGCAAAATACACAGGTGTTTTTTATTTTTGTGGCCCTAGGACCCAGCATGACACTTAGCTCATGGTGTGGACCTAATACTTTAAGAATAAAAGAAACAAATAATACCTAACTGTATAAGACAAAGGATAAAATGAAAAATAAGTGGCATTGACAATGAACAGTTTGGGATAATAGGACTTAACTATGGCCAACACTGGTTGCTCAGATATTTTTAGTGTATTATATGCAATGTTTTGTTTTTGGCTTCTTTTTAATATCAAGGATATTTAAAATCAAATTTAAAATATCACTTAAAGTTGTATTATCATTTTGTTTCCATGGAGAAGATAATTTTCTTCCTTCTTCCTTTCCTTCCTTCTTTCCCTTCTTTTTTTCTTTCATGCTTTCTGGCCTTCTTTTCCTCCCTCTCTTCCTTCCCTTCCTTCTTACTCTCTTTCTTTTCCTTCCTTCCTTCTTTTCTCTCTTTCTCTCTCTCCCTTCTTTCCTTCCTTCCTTCTTTCCTTCCTTTCTTTCTCTTTTCTTCCTTCCTTCCTTCCTCCCTCCCTCCCTCCTTCCCTCCCTCCTTCCCTTCCTTCCTTCCTCCTTCCTCTCCTTCTTCTCCTCTCTCTCTCTCTCTCTCTCTGTCTCTCTCTCCTTCTTTTGAGACAATGTCTCACTATATTTCCCAAGCTAGAGTTCAGTGGCTGTTCACAGGCCCCATTATCGTGCATTGTGTTTCTGAACTCCTGGGCTCAAGCAATTCTCCTCCCTGAAGCTCCTGAGTAGCTGGGACTACAGGTGTGTACTACTTTCCCTAGCTCCAGCCACATACAATTTTTGAGAATGAAAATATTTACAATTAAAAAACCACAGAAATTTTTTTCTGGTTCCAATAACCAGAGTACTCAACTGGTTCACAGCATCCTCTGAAGCTAAAAGCAAACTCACGGCTTTGTTTCCATGATTTGATTAATTCTCCTTTCTCCTCCGTCCTCTTCCTTTTCCTCTTTTTAAAGCAATTTTTATATTGCTAAAGAAGCAGCTGTTGCTTTCTGTTTAACTAAACCAAAAGAT